TATCCTGCCACTACTCCTCCTTATTATTAATAACCAAATTTTCTACTTCACTGAGAAAATAGAAACCATCAGACAAGAACTTCTCAGTGCCCAGCCTCCCTCCCTAGCTTCCTCACATCGTATCTATCTGCCTCCGTGACCCCATCAGTATAGAACAGTAACATCTTTCCCACCTCCCACCCAGACATCAAAACTCTGTGCTCTGAATCTCATCACCATGCTTGCTTCATCAGTTTTTCTTTCCTGCCCCCAGCTTCAATCACTTCCATAACACTGTCTCCCTCTAATGAGCATTTAATCTTTCCCATATTAAAAATACCACAAAGTCTCTGGGGATCTCTTACCACTATCCAATTACTACCCCCTTTTCACTTCCTCAAATTTCACCAACTCCTACCACCTTCTCTTTATTGCTAAATCCAATGGATATGTTTCCATTTATCAGTTTATCTCAGGAGCCTTTGATATGCTGACCACTCCCCCTTTCACTGAAATGCCTCTCCTCTTGGTTGCTGTGTCAACACACCCTCTTGGTGTCTTTTCAGCCTTCTTTATAGGCACCTCTCTCTCTGAATGACCCTGAAATGTTGGTTTTCCTCGGGATTTGACACTCTGACTTCTCTTCCAACACATTCTTCTTAGGCAACCCCATTCACAAGCCTGACTCCCATTATCATCCAGGCTGTTGATCTGACCCCTCAGACTGACATCTCTAGCACAGATCGCTCCCCTAAGCTCCAACTCCATGTAGTCAATAGCCCCACTTAGACGAACCAGACATACTCATCATGTCCTAAACCAAACTCATTCTCTTCCATTCAAACCTGTTCTTCTTCCCATGTGTCCCATGTCAGGTGATACCTGATCAGTCACTCAGCTGCCTATGGTTACAAACTAGATTATCATCCTCAAGTCCCCCTTCTCTCTTGGGTACATAGATCACCAAGTCCCGGTAAGTCTCCCTTAAGCCAAACAGCACTTAAATTCATCCACTTCTCTCTGGGCTCATAACCACTAACTCTACCTGAAGTCACCATCATCTCTTTCCTAGATTACTCACTCAACAGTCTCTTAACTGCATTTCCTGCTATGACTTTTCCCCCAACTCATTTTTCACACTG